CTTTACTTCTCTCTCTCTCTCTCTCTCTCTCCCCCCCCCAGGTTCTGAACGGTGCCTGAACAGAAGTTAAAGAGCCAAGAGCTGCCCTCGGAGACAGGGTGAGTCTGTCCTTGTTGTTAGTGACCCTTTAGTCTCTTTTGTACATTCACGCTTTTAGAAGCAAGCAGGTTTTCCGTAGTGCGAAGGGATCCCAATCCTGATTGGCGCCGTATGGGTGCTACTGCAGTGTGAAGAATAATAATGGGCCCTGATGATAAATGACTAGATCTCCAAAACCCACAGGGAGGGAGTACTGGAAATAGAGGTGCAGAATGCTATGAGTCAAATGCAAAGCTCAGAAATGGTGGCTTTTTAGGGTTGTGTGTGTGCTTTTATTCACATTTAGCTATGAACTTGAAAATGGGCTGATTCCTGTGGATGAGGTTATTTTGAGGCTCTGCATTTAAAAACACACAGAAATTCCAACTATTTTTCTGTGTTTTCAGTGCGAAATTTTGCACAAAGTGAAATTTAGGAAGGCAAAATCGATGCAGCTCAGCAAGAACGTGGCATTAAATTCTGTGAAATGAAACCTTGTCTTTGATTGTTGAGCTGCTTGGAATGTGGATTTCCTGATTTCAGGTCAGGCTGTGTAAGCATGGTTTAGCTCGACCTCTAGTTTTATGTTTATTCTAGGAATGCTGATTGTGCTCTGGGATTGGGAACGGAGCGAGGGAACAAATGTAGAAACCCGCTCTGTTAAATCACAGGAGTGCCTGAAATGTTTAACCGGTGGGTGATGAGGTGCTTGAGGCAGGTTGTTGGGTTATTATACCTCTTTGTGGATAGCTGCGCAGTTCCCCTGTCTGTTCAAGTGCAATGAATGTATTGTTCAGAGCAGAAATCCTAGCATCATCCAGGGACTCAGAGAGTGAATTTACACACAGTGATCATTTTGGGAGGGCTTTCTATGCTGGTGGAACATGGTGAGGATGCTATTGCAACCCCATGTGATGAGATCCTGGGGAGATACAGCTGAGGTGAGATGGAGAGGGGATGGTATGTACTCAGTTATGTGCCATTCTCAGCCTGTGATTAAATTAGGGGCTTTGAACGCCTCTCTTCCACCCTCTAGAGAAAAAACTCTTCAGAATACTCATCCCTTCAAGTCTTTGGACAACATGCAGCCTTTGGTGGGTCCCCCACCAGTCCAGTGCACCAATCCAATGCCAGCTTACAGCTTTCCCTGCCAATCCAGCCCGGCCTATATTGAGCTGAGGCAGTGGGACTCTGCGGGGTGCAGCTGTGCTCCATGTGCAGCTCCCTCTCTCTGGAGCCTGAAGGCAGGGTTTGAACTGCGTGCTCCCGAGGTGCAGGACTGGTTCGCTGCACATGGGGCCATAGACGCAGCGTTGTCAGAGCAAATTCCTACCAGCACATGACCCAGGCCGGAGAAGCCATGTCTTTGAGGAGAGCTATAAGTGGGTCACTGTCATTGATTAAAGTGTAAAGCAAGCATGCCCCTCAGGGCTATGGATTTCTCTCTCTCTGAGCCAAGGCAGCCTGTAAAGTTTTATGAGCAATTTCTGCTCAGTAATTCCAAGCAGCTCATCCTTCAGGAGGGCTGCGTGTGCATGTGTAAGAGTTCAGTACTGTTTGGCAGCTCTGTCTGCCACATGGGGTGCAGTATGTCTGTCTGGCCTGTGCAGCAGGCACCTGTGACCGGGGCACTTGGAGGATATACCGAAGAGGTGGAGAATGGGAGAGACTAGAAAGAGATGTGCTGAGTCTCATTCAGTCCTTCTGTGTGTTAGGGAGGCAGCATGGCTCAGTGCCTGGGAATCAGAGGCTCTAGGTTCTATTCCCAGCTTTGACACGGATTTGCTATATGGCCTGTATGTGCCTCAGTTTCCTTTTCTGTTGATGTGGATCGTGCCTGCTCACCTCGGCTCTCAGGTCTCCAGATAAAGAGGCCTATGCTGAAAGGCCATGCTTTGAACTTGCACAGGTTACAGCTGACAAGGGACAAGTGGTGTGTGATACAGGAGGTCAGACCAGATGATCACAATGGACCCTTCTGGCTTTGGAACCTGTGAATGGGGAGATCTGTGTGGTTGCCAGCAATAGGTGATGTGCCTCGTCTGCCCTGGGTGAATTCTCTGGAAAGGTACTCGGAAGGGGGAGCTGGGTATAGAAAGAGAGACCCAGATGGACAGACGTGGTGGGGAGAGAGAACAGATGTACACTGGGACCTGGACCCCCAATTCGCACTCTCACTCACTGATTTGGCACCACGGGGATCGATCCCATGTGTAGATGGGTTTTCTGCTGCCAACATCGTGTGGGTCAGGTTTGCTCTGAGTGGGGTTAGGCCATGTGGGGCTTCCAGAGCCATTGGCCCATCTGCACCAGGCTCTTGAAAGTGCTAACACTGGGGGAGCTGAGCCATTGCGGGCAAGAGAGGGACATTTCCCTAGTGTAGCTGTCTCTCTAGTGCTCTCTCTGGCTTCCTTTAATCCACTTCTTTCCCATACGCCAGGTATGACAAGCCCATGAGACTTGCTTATAACATACAGGAGTTGTAATCCCCCTCCCCCATTCATGTGTGTGACTTTTTTCCCCAGCCCCTGTGTGTATGCGTCTTTCTTTCTCTCTCCCACGTCTGTCTACCTCTCTGCTCCCGTGTTGTCTCATACCTGTTCTGCAATTCTGTGTCATTTCTTTTGGTGCATATTCATACATCCCTGTGGCAAGTCCCAGAATGCACTGCACTCTTTCTCTTTCCTCCTTCCCCCCTCACACACTGCATAGCTGAGCATCTCTGAGCTTTGGGAAGGTTACAGGGGAGTTGCCCCCAGTAGAAGAGTAGTAAAAATCAGCTGGAATGAAGAGAGACTTTGATCAGCTTTCTGGCTGACAAAAGAGAGCTGTGAGACTCTGATTCTTAACCCCGTCTTTCCCAGTAGACTTAGGAAACTGTCCAGGGCTGTATACAGCCTGCTTAATTTCCCCAGGGACTGCTGTAAGCAGGGCCGGCGCAACCCATTAGGCGACCTAGGCGGTCGCCTAGGGCACTAACATTTGGGGGGCGGCGACCACGGCGGCCGGACCTTCCGCCGCCTCTGTCGGGGGCGGCATTTCAGGGGCGGGACCTTCCACTGCTTAGGGCGGCAAAAAAGCTGGCGGCACTCCTGGCTGTAAGTGGAAATGTGATACATATTCTATGCCTCTTTTGCTTCAGTCTTCACTAAAATAGTGAATTGTGACCAGACCCTTAACACAATAAATATTAACAACAAGGGGGAAGTAACACAAGCCAAAATAGGGGGAGAACAGATTAAAGAATATTGAGATAAGTTAGATGTGTTCAATTTGACAGGACTTGATGAAAGGCATCCTAGGGTACGTAAGGAACTAGCTGAAGAAACCTTGGAACTGTTAATGATTATCTTTGAGAACTCCTGGTGGATGGGTAAGGTCCCAGAGGACTGGAGAAAGGTATGTTCCCCTATCTTTCAAAAGGGGAACAGAGAGGACCTGGGGATTTATAGACCAGGCAGTCTAACTTCAATACCTGGAAAGACACTGGGACAAATGATTAAGCACTCAGTTTGTGAGCACCTAGAGGATACTAGGGTTATAAGGAATAGCCAGCATGGATTTGTCAGGAACAAATCGTGTCAAACAAACCCAATTTCCTTTTTTGACAGGGTTAATGGTCTAGGTCAGGGGTAGGCAACCTATGGCACATGTGTCGAAGGTGGCACGGAAGCTGATTTTCAGTGGCACTCACACTGCCCGGGTCCAGGGGGCTCTGCATTTTAATTGAATTTTAAATGAAGTTTCTTTAACATTTTAAAAACCTTATTTACTTTACATACAACAATAGTTTAGTTATATATTATAGACTTCTAGAGAGAGACCTGCTAAAAATGTTAAAATGTATGACTGGCACACGAAACCTTAAATTAGAGTGAATAAATGAAGACTCGGCACACCACTTCTAAAAGGTTGCAGACCCCTGGCCTAGTGGATAGGGAGGAAGCAATAGACATGATATAGCTTGATTTTTACTAAGGGTTTTGACACAGTCCCACATGACATTTTCATAAGCAAATTAGCGAGGTGTGGTTTAAATTAAATTACTATAAAGTGGTTGCACAACTGGGAGGGTGTATCTAATGGGGTCCCACAGGGGCCAGTCCTGGGTCCAGTTCTAGTCAATAGTTTCATTAACAACTTGGATAATGGATTGGAGAGTACATTTATATAATTTGTGGATGACATGAAGGTGGGGAGGGGTTGCAAGCACTTCAGAGGACAGAATTAGAATTCAAAATGACCTTGGCAAATTGGAGAATTGGTCTGAATTCAACAAGATTAAATTCAATAAAGATGAGAGAAAAGTACTTCACTTAAGAAGGAAAAATCAAACGCACATGTAAAAAATGGGGAATAACTGGCTGGCAGTAGTGCTGCTGAAAAAGATCTGGGTGGGGGTTATAGTGGATCACAAATCGAATACGAGTCAACAGTTTGAAGCAGTTGTGAAAAAGGTTAATACCATTCTGGGGTGTATTAACAGGAATGTTGTATGTAAGATACAAGAGGCAATTGTCCCATTGTACTCAATGTTGGTGACTCCTCAGCTGGAGTACTGTATCCAGTTCTGGGCGTTACACTTTAGGAAAGATATGGACAAACTGGAGAGAGTCCAGAGGAAAGCAACCAAAATGATAAAAGGGTTAGAAAACGTGACCTGTGAGGAAAGGTTTAAAAAAAATTGGGCATGTTTTAGTGTTGAGAGAAGACGACTGAGGGGGGACCTGATAACAGTCTTTAAGTATGGTAAGGGCTGTTATAAAGAGGACGGGGATCAATTGTTCTCCATGTCCACTAAGCCCATTACTTATTGTCCTACCTTTTAATCTGCAGCGAGGGAGATGTAGGTCAGATATTAGGAAAAGCTGGCTAACTCTAAGGGTAGTTAAGCTCTGGAATAGGCTTTCACAGGAGGTTGTGGAATGCTCCTCATGGAGGGTTTTAAGGGCAGGTTGGACAAACACCTGTCAGGGATGGTCTAGGTTTACTTGGCCCTGCCTCAGCCCAGGGGTCTGGA